CTCAATTGTAAAGCATGTATAAAGGAAATATTTAGAATAAAGCCAATATATAAACTTCCTTTCCGTATAGACGTATTTACGTCAAATTCTCCGGAACCGTGGTTCCACTGACAACTTTTTACTCTTGCGTTTGCTAAGGCATGGATGAGTACGTTTTACTATGTAGGCCTGAAGAGAAACCTTGAGTCAGCGAACCATTTATGGATGGGAGATATTATTAAAACGTATACAACTAAATAGGGTGTGAAAGTGTGGTCTGGATTAATGTGGCTCAGTATATGGTCCAATAGAGGAATGTTATGAACCTTTGGGTTCCACAAACGACCTAGAACTTCTCGACCAACAGACCGACTATCGGCTTCTCAAGACTGACTCTGCCCTATCGATCTGCACATGTAACTCGAGTGCAGAAGACAAATAATCCAGGCTTAATTTTGGTGCAGAAACGTCTTGGAAAGCGGATCTTTACAAAACGGGGCCGACATAGGCGGAGAATTCTTGACTAACTTCACAAGAAGGACGCAAGTCCATTGAATTAATTATCTTAATTAAAGAGGTCCTGTTGAGTGCTGAACTTGGTGTTAGTATGTTGTACTTTCGGTAAGATATGCTACAAAGTTCGTATCCTCAATATAGATAGATAGATAGATAGATAGATAGATAGGGAGAGAGAGAGAGAGGGAGAGGGGGGAATGTTTAAACTCATTTTTCGATTTAGTGAATATATATCAGGATGGTTTCGATTCCCGAATTGATCACTGGCCTTTTATCTTTTCTTGAGCACCAAAACCATAACAGCCTCCTATCCGAGAACGCAGTGCAAAGTGAGAAGCCGACCACCCAGTTCAGTGGGGATTTACTTTCATTATACAAAAAGTAAATTTATTTCTAATACAACCTTAATACGTTCAAAAGTAGGTAACGAGGAAAATATTTTTTTATGAGACGAAACGATAAACAAAGTTTACATCTACGTTTTTCTGTAATGATAGGCCTTTCTTGTTGTTCAAAAAGTGCTGGAGACAAATTTGCAGGAATTGAATTCAGCATGTTACATAATCCGATCCTATCTAGTGTCGATCCCTTACATGTTATGTCCTACGACTTTTTTGGACACGTTCTTGTTCATTTCTTTGTTCGTCCCTTCTTTATCGTCTTCACGGTTTAAGTTCTGTTCAGTTTTCACAACTTTTTAGTTCTTATTTCAATGAAATTTTATTAACATCTTCAACGCTGTGAACGACATAAATCGCTTAGAGAATTAATCTCTTCTGATACAAGCGCTTTGAGATATTCATGGCGTCGGTAGAAACTAATTTATTTTAACAATTCATCCTGTTAGGTATAGTTTTCTTCACACCAAGAAAACGTTAAAAAAGACTAATAGTAATTCAGCATGGAAAGAGTTAATGAATTCTTCACTTCCTCCTGCATTCTGGTTTTAACCTGTAGTCCAATTATACAGGTGATCAAAAAGTCATGCAACACATATTAAGATTTTTGTTGGTGGTTGCAATTAAATACAATTCCAGTGAATTAGTAAACACAGCGTTGTTGTGATCACACAAGAACCCACGGAGAGAAAGTGATGTTGAAACCCGCTCGCACCAGTCCGTCAGCTGTCTTCAAACAGTCAAATTGCAGCCGAAGCGGCCCCATCCTCTCTGGGTTCAATCCCCAGAGAACCAACTAACCAAATCCTTTTGGACAGGTTGCCTGACGGGATAACCTTCCATCAGCAGCAACAGACCGTAGTTTGAATGGTCGAGGCTCCCGCCAATACAGAACCCCGTTAGCGTAAGCAAATTCCCGTTTTAGTTAAAAGGCTCTGGTTACCATTTCCAGCAATGCGTCTGGTGCGCAGGAATGGTGTGTTACCTAGAGTGGGACGATGTCTTGCGCTTGCGTAGAACTCCGCCCTTAGTTAGCTTTTTGGTTGAATGGTTAGTAGTTGGATGTACGATGTACGTATGTTTCACAAGTGCAACGATGTTCAATGTCGAACA